AATAGGTTAATGTATTTAGTTACTCATTAATAAACTAAAAATATATTTACATTTATATTGAAAGTTGGACAAAATAATTATTATGTTTCTGTCTGGTTGGCATTTAAGTTTAAGTTAAAAGCCTACATTAAAACACTTGCCAGAAATGGAAGTGACAAATGCTATGTGATTTTACTAGTCTATCCCAGCATCACCTTTGTCCCTGGCTTGAGCTTGGGAGAGAAGAATTTTTGAACAAAAGATTATCCTCCTAACCCAAACCACTTATCTGGTTTTCCTGATCTCCCATCTTTATTTTTTCCTCTTCCTAATCTATCCCTTTCTTTGGTTTACTGATTTCTACATGGATCCTGGAAAAGTTCCTAGGGATGGAGCTTCAAAATTCAGTTTCTTAAAACAGAGAAGGAGTCTATACACAATGCCACCATAGAACACAACAAGACCACCTGGATGCAAACCCTTCAAAGCTCCCTTACTACTTGTTAGTTTAAAAACTGCTAACCTTGGATTTAACTAAACTATCATGTTGTAATTATAAGCCAAAATCAACAAAGATCCCTATAACCATTTGTATTAATTAAAGAACCAGTTGGGAAATGTAAAATTTGCTAGTTCTACAGCATAGTCTCTCAATAACTTAATCAACATCTTAAATTTCAGAATTAAATTAATGCTGAAAGTCCAACTTAATCCATTTTGTTAAAAAATTAATTATGTTACTGATTTTGTTTTACTATTTCTAACTTACTTGATTTTAATTTGTTACATCCAAGCGATAATTTTTATCCAGACCAGATCTGAGAGTGTCTGGGTAATTTGTAACAGTATGGATTTTTGTTTATTTCTTTATTTAGTGATTTTTTTAATTGAGCCTTTGGAGGAACCACATTAAAAATAAAATATACTGGATAAAAAGATATCGGCAACATTCACACACTAACCATAGATAAAAGTAGCATAATGCTAATTCCATTAAATATTAAAAATTAATTGACTGGAAAAAAATTTTTTAAAAGAGGCTAGGGCTGAGAAGGACAATTTTGCCTTCCCAAGGGGATTGAAACCAGACCACTGTATCTCACTACTACCAAAGAAGCAATGTCTAATACCTGCAAATATTACAAAGCACTTGTGTAGGCTATCCTAATCCCATGTCCATTTTCTGGTGTTTTGTAATAATAGAATCCCTATCTGGTTATTTAAAAAAACAAAAACAAAAGCTAAGCACAATGACTTTTCATGTTATGACTAGCCAAACAGTTTGCAATATTCATTATTCAAGCCATTCTCTCACTTTGTCTGTTCTAATCATATTGGAAGCTTCCCCCACCCACCCTTTTTTAATGGTAAATCTGATTTTGCATATCCAACTGTTCACCAGTCACAAACATTTTTATCTCGTTTTTTTCCCCCCTCACACACATGATTTCCACTTCATACACTTGCCAGGTAACAGAAGACAACCCTTTAGAGAAGTTAGATTGTTTCCTTAGTCCTCTTCCACATACACATACATCTCTGCAAATGTGGCACTATTCAGATGTTTTTTAATACACCAGAAATATGAAAGAAAATAAAAGGCATGCTGGCATGCAAAACCCTGACTGGGGGATAGAGGTGAAAAGAAATGTAACAGAGAATTGCTGGCAGAGTTATATGCTATCCGAGAACACAGATTTCAGTTCACCCACCATCTGAATTTTCTAGAAATTGTCATTTTTCAAACAGATACAAGAAAATCCATGCATGGCATTTGGATATTCACTAGCAGTTATTCTTGCCTATAGAAAAGGATATTCATTCCAGGAATGAACTATATATTTTTTTATTTTATTTTTTAAGTTCTCAGGTTTGCTTTGTCAGTATGGGTAATGAATATAACTGCCAAATATTTCTGTATCCAAGTTTCTACATGAGTGACATCTGATGGTATTTAAAGATACAAACTAAGACAAGAACAGAAAGTCAGAGAATCAAATCTGTAGTTTATGTGACATGAACTGAGTGTACTGAAGTTTCATCTTCATTGTCAGTATCCATATATACTTTCCCTGAGAAATGATACTGAACAGTAGAAAAATTTGGCTGACATCATCTTGCATGTCTCTTTGCTGCCAGTTCAAAAGAAATATAGAACACATACAAATTCCCCATCAGAGGCATTACTACCTCTTACATACAATTGTATACTCTGGTTTCAACAGGATATACTCTGAAGTAAGTGTACATAATACTG